CTATGGCACTTTTACTTTGCCTAAAGATGTTGGGAGTCCATCATTGCAGTTTGTGATTCAATCACCAAAGGAGGTGAATGACCAGTCATACCCACGTGCAGGGTGACAGAATGAATGACAATATTGCAGTTGTTTCACCAGTATTTGAAAGAAGTCACCGACAACAACAACAACAAGATTCCATTTATAGAGCGCCTTTCACGTCGGGAGGATGTCCCAAGGCGCTGTACAGTTGGGTCAGGACCCGAGCAGGGGGGAAATGGTCAGGGTGAGGGGAGGGAAGGGAGGGAGCGAGGAGGGGGTAGAGAGTCGAGAGGGGAGCTGAAGGCACGGTCAAAGAGAAGACAAGTATACAACATGCATTATCCTGAACGTCTGAACAAACTGTATTATTATTATGGACTACGTTGTTCCACAATCCAAAAAGATGTGTGTTCCTTTTGAAGACAAGTTCATCAAAGATTCTCAAAGTATTTATTATTTAAACAGAGTACACAGTTCAAATGATTGGAATACTGTTTATTTTATTTATGAGAAAGGCCTCCGCAGTTCTGGGTTACCAGAGTATTTTTCTTTCAGTAAATAATCAGTGCACTCCATTGTTCCACATTGATGGAATCTAAAAAGTAATGTTAAAGTGTAATGAAAGTGTGTATTTATTTTCTGCGAGAAGCAATCACAAAATGATGCTAATATTCTTCTGTAAGCTGCCCTATCAAGAGTTTACCACAACATCCCTCACCATGATCTGCCATAATTGTAACACAAAACCTCTGGTCACAAGTAACTAAAACATTGCTTTTAACTTGCAACTTTTCCTCTGAACAGATCACCATCTCAATCAGTAAAATATAGTTACAACACTCTCTGACCCTTGCTATCATTCACTAACCTTAAAAAAATCAAAGAGGATTTTACCAACACATGTGCATGATTCTATGCTCTGAAAAGTCTGGATTAATATAGAATGCTCACACTTGGAAATTGTGGAATCATGGTCTAGTCCTGTCAAGTTCATAAATGTCATTGTCATATCTTACTCATTTTACACAGCTCAGAAATAAATTACACCAAGAGCAAATGCAAATAAAAGCTCCACTTCATATGAATATGAATAGGCAATTTAGCTCAATAAGCATACTCAGCCACTTTACAAGTTCATGGAAGCTCATCATCTTTCTAATCTCAGTCAAATGGACTTTTGTATCTGGATCAGGTGGTTACACCATCATGCTATTCCATGCTAGGACTACATAAACACTCCAATGAAGTACTTGGGGGAATCCTGCAATATTGGATATGCTGTCTTTTGTTTGAGACGAAAATCAAGTTTATCTGCTTGTTCAGATTGATAAATATCCCATGATCCTATTAAAAAAAGAGTGCTGACCGTTGCTTGTGGGAATTCGTTTGTGTAAATTGGTTGCTTGTAGGAATTTGTTTGTGTAAATTGCTGCTACATTTGCCTCCAAAACAGAAGGCATTATGCAGTGATGATTATCCTCAAGTGTGTTTGACTTGATAAGCCAACACAAAGATGCAAGTTTGTCCTTTAGATCTTTCTTGATTCCATTTCAGCTTTGATAAGATTTTGGATAACTACTGGATATTGCAACACCATGAGCTTACTATTTAACTGAAGGTATTTATGGATGAATTCCTTCGTAAGATGTGTAATAAGAGTAAAGTTAGATTTAATAGTCATAAAACTAATCCTTACATTTGATAAGCACCTTATCATCTACAGCGGAATCCTCATTTGACGGACGCCGTTTATCCCCGGACGTCGGGTAAATCAAACAAAGCGCTCAGCCCCGATGCATTGCTCCAGGATATAGATGGGAGGAGTCAAATTGTGATTGACAGCAGACTCCAGCCATTCATAATTGGCTGGAGTTGGGCTGTCAATCAGTGAGGGGGCGGAGGAATGGGGAAGAACAAGGGAAATTGTGATTGATTGACAGCTGAGCTGTTGTGAATGGCTGGAGCCCAGAGTTTGACAAATGGCTGAAGGCTATCAATCACCTCACCCGCCTTCAATTGGTCCCCTTCCTATCCAATGGGAACGGCAATGGGAGGGAGGAAGCACCGACCCCATTCCTCTGCTGGGTAGGAAAATGCTGGAGTTTTCTATTTACTGCGAGGTAAACAAACACGTGTAGAGTAAGGAAACTTGCCTAATGTTTCGCCTGCCTGGGAATCAAACTCAGGTCCTCTCACTTGCGAGGCGCGTGCTCTAACCACTAAGCTACAGTACTCCAAATATTATTATATGGCACCACCGCATCTCCTCCACTGGGCAGGAATGGTAATTCGGCTAACCTTGGACACCTCTTAAGTCGGACAAAATGTGATGCATTCGGCTTAACTGGTTTCCACTGAATTCAAGACATATTAAAGCTCTTCAAAGAATACACTGTAAAGTGTTGTGACTGTATATTTTGTGGGCGAATCTGGCAGATAATTTGCGTGCAGCAATGTCCCACAAACATGAATGACCAATTGGGTAATTGTTGGTAAGACACAAGGAGAAAATCCCTTCTCTTTTCAAATATTCCCATGGAATCTTTAACGCCCACATGAATAGACTGATGGGGTCTCAGTTTAACGTCTCATCCAAAGCACAGCACCTTCACACATTAGAGCGTCATGGATCTGATAAGACTATATGGATTCCTACTCTATTTGTAACAACATAAGAGAGATCATCATTAATAGCGAGCAGGAGGACTCGGGTTCAATTCCAGGGTGGGACGCACCCTAGGCAAGTTTCCTTACTCCACACACTTCTGTTTCCCAAGCAGTAAGTAGGAACTCGGTTGTTACTCAATTGGCAGATCACTTTCTGGGGGTAATAATCACTCCAAAATGGAAATAAAAAAATGTGATCACTCAATCCTTGACTGCTTGTGGGACATTGCTGTGCACAATTGGCTTCTGCATTTCACTCACAAAATACAGAGTAACTCCACTTTACAATATATCCTGTGAGGCACTTTGAGAGGTCTCAACAACGTGATAAGGCGCTGAATCCTATGCAAGGATTATTATTGTGAGTATAACATAAGAGAGCTGTGGTCTGAGGTGGTTTCATACAGTAACACACCAGAGCATTAAAGATGCAGATTCTCGCACCAAGAATGCAGAAAGTTCCGGGTCCAAGTTAAATAGTCTGCAGGAAAACATAAAGAGGCAAAGCACTTCCCTTGTGTAAGAGGCAAAATAAAAAAAAGTGCAGCATTGCCTTGATGGCCTTGCACAATTCTTGGCAGCCAATTATAATCCAGACAGACATAGGAATAGCCCACAGACATGTCTAGGGTTTAAATAAAAACATGGAAATTTCCCTGTGCTTGGAGCGGAATGTGCATTCTCTCCATCAAGGTACACATCCTGGTTACCAATACCTGAGAGTATTAAGATGGACAGACCCGAGTTTCAAGGACTCCAGAATGGGTGGTAGGATACGACTGAAGCTTAACCAGTTAGAACCATTAAACATCAATAACTTTGCCCGAAAAGCTTCCCGCAACTTTTCCATTTCGGACTGCCCTTCGTGTTGGAGATTTGGTTTACAGGGTTAAGGGGGGCTAATTGGCAAGAATCCCTGTTCTCCATGACTCAGTTGGCTCTCCATGACCCAGTCTGCCTTCCAGGTCTTGCAAATGGGCCAGACTGGCTGGTCTCATCAGCAGTGCCTGAAGTACTGCAGACCTGCCTGACTCAGAAGCTGGTTACCAAGACAGGGTCACCAAAGTTCCACTGCCACGCATGTCACTTTGGAGATTGCTCATCTCTGAGAATATCCTATTTACCTCCTCACACCTCCCAACACCCGGAAGATGCTCTTATCTTTAATGTTGCATTAGTTATATTTTAAAAGTAAGTTAGTCATTTATAATTCTGCAGGAACACAGAAAGAGAATAGTGCTTCGCCCACATCAGCAAATGCACAGAGTAGAAAAAGCAACAGATAAAGAAGTAGAATCTGCAGATGTTTTCACTTCTGTACTGTTATTCTTTGTACAAAGTTGGTGATGTGTACCATTATTGAGAAAGGGGAGCTTAGTATCTTTGTGATTAGAAATTGCTGACCACTATAATGGTGCTTTTATGACATTTATAAAGCTGTGTAGAATGAGTGCTTTCACTACTATATAAAAAATTTTTTATGAAGAATTGTAAAAACTAACTACAGGAGCAATCACACTTGCTGAGGGGTCTTTTTGAGCCTAAAGATAAGCTAATGTGAAGAGCGGAATTTTATCACACAAACAAAAATGAACAAATTTGCCATTGGCCACTGGACAATAAACCATTAGCTAATTGCTGCTTTTCGGAGTGGGCCTGCTACAATTTACAAAATAGGGCCTCAGTTTCTCTGTATATTAATGTTACTGAAAATGTAGACCAACAGAATATCTGGGGAGATTGTGCCCAATAATTGTTAAGCATTGGCTCAGCATTCTTAACCCTCAAGATTTAGCTTAGATTATATGAGTTCCAAGGCCCGATTTAGGGGTTAAACTCAACCTTCTGACCCAGAGGTAAGAGTGCAACCAACTGAGCCAGCCTGGAGCATGACATTATATGCTTTCTGCAACATGTAGCATTAGTAAAAATGAACAAGACTGGATATGAATTTGTCCGGTGCTTGCTTCAATTCCTTACTCTGTCTCACCACAAAGAGGGGTAATGCTTTCCCTCATATCTTACTAACTTCCCTGAACATTAAAAGGCAACTCTAAATGCAACTCTAAATGAAGCAGACATATTACAATAATAGGCACAATGATCTGCACAGAAAGCATCCAGACAGTATCCATGAGTTGTCATCATTTAATTTAAAGGTTGACCAGGGAACATCTTGATTTTCTTAATTAAACGTTTTGGTGAATTTTGCAATCTTAAACAATATTGAATGTACAGGTACTTCCGCTTTAAATTATACATTTAAATACAAACAATTCAGGATTGTTCTATATACTGTAATACAATACCTTCCCTGATGGCTGTGAATGGAGTTCCTTCCTCTTCTTGTAATCTGATAACCTTCAGGGCTACCAACTTCCCATTCACCCTAGTTTAAGAAGATAAAAGTGAATAATTTGTTTTTAGTCCTCAACAAAACACAGAATTGATTAGTATGAAAAGGGTATCTCAATAAATAAATGTACTGTATTAGATTTTTACACCAAAACTTTATCAAGGTTTACCAGCAACAGCTTTCTTTCTTTTTAACTGTTCACTTTATTCCAGGCACAAACAAAATACAGCACAGTTTATCAGTTAGCACAAAGATGCAAGGTAACAATGACATTGAGGGAATCCCAACCCTGAGAGATGAGGTGATTTGGTTGTCGTGGATTATTCAAGTACAGATTCTGTATTTCATTCAGGATATTATCCATAAGCAAATACTGTACAATGTCCCATCCCTTTTTCAGTTCATCCCCATGGACTAGCAGATTGGGTCAATTTATAACAACAACCAACCTGACTTTATATAGCACCCTTCATGTGGAATAACATCTTGGAACATTTTACAATATGCATACATATAAACTTGCAGTGAGGTGTTTGAATATCCAACCCACAAACCATCATATATCAAGCTAACTTATTCCCATAGGGTTATTTTGTGAAAGCAGATTTATTCTCAGCTAACTCTCAGCACACAGGACGACAAATATAAATAACAGTTGACCCTTTCCCGTTATATCTACAACCACTTGAAATCACATGAAGATGGTCAGGTTTTCCTTCTATTGGTCATTTGCCTCTGGATTGTCAATAGCATGAGTTAAATAAGCCTCAAATGCATCCAATATAATGTACCCTGGAGGAAAGTTGTGAAATAAGATGTGTTCCCACCAAACTAAAAACCTTAGGAAAATTCACATCAAAATGAGTAGATATCAAACAGTTCCAGAAACCATAGAGTAGGGCTTTCATATCCTCACAATGCCCATTGGGAATACAACTATTTGTGTCTGTTTGTTGATTCACCGTATTTTGGGTTCAGGGAATGCTCTAACATGTAAACTGCAAAATAATAATATAATAAAAATAATCCTTGCATTTGATATAGCGCTTTTCACATCTTCTAGATGTCTCAAAGCACTTCACAGAATATGCTGTAAAGTGAATTGACTGTATATCTGTAGGCGAAACGTGCACAACAGTGTCTCAGAGAGTCGTGGATTGAAAACGACCAATTTATTATTGTTTTTTGGAGGGATTATTATTAGGCGTGTGGAAAAAGGAAACTTGCCCAAGGTTTCACTCTGCCTGGAATTGAACCCAGGTCTCTCGCTTGCAAGGCGAGTGCTCTAACCACTGAGCTACAGGACTCCACAAACAAAATCATTTGTTTAGTAATTTACATGGTACAGCAATCTGTGGAGTTTTGTAGCTCAGTGGTTAGAGCACTCGCTTTGCAAGTGAGAGACCTGAGTTCAATTCCAGGCAGAGGGCGAAACCTTGGGCAAGTTTCCTTACTCCACACACCTAATAATAATCCCTCCAAAAAAACAAAACAATAATAAACTGGTCACTCAATCCACGACTGTTTGTGGGACACTACTGTGCGCAATTGGCTGCCGCGTTCACCCACAAATATACAGTCAATTCACTTTACAGTATATTCTGTGAAGCGCTTTGGGACGTCTAGAAGACCTGAAAAGCACTATATCAAATGCAAGGATTATTATTACATCTTGAGCATTCCCCAGAATATGGTGAATGGAAACTGAGATTGTCAAAAAGAAAATTAATTTAAAAATGTGACAAATTCCTCAGAACTCAGCAATTGTTTTCTTTTCCCTTCCCTGGGAAATGACCTCACACTGCACTAGAGCACACAGCGAACACTGTAATTGTATTCAGATGAGATTTCCTTTCAAAATATAGCATTCTTTTCCTTGGTGGGAACTGAGAAATGGAACCATAAAGTTTGCATACTTCTGTCGAACAACTGGACTTAGTGCTGTTTTTCATATACCCCTTCTTTACATTCTCCATCTGCACGCGCCAAAATAAGTTTTAATTATTTAACTAGCTTTTCCCTCATCATTTCCACTTTGAAATTCTGCACTCAGCCAAATTCCCTTGATTCCCAATTGGTGTTGTACCTTTCAGCCTCCTCACACTCAATCTCCAACCCTAGGAGTAGCTCAGTTAAAATTGTACCATTAAACTATTATTCCCTTAAAACCAGTCCTTCTCCAATTTCTCTCTTAGATGTTACAGTACCATTGCACAACGTCTTCTTAGCTGCTGGAAGCCACGGGCTTTTCCACAACTGCTATCAGTCCACCAGGAAATGTGAATGAGGCAGGGTGAAAATACAAGACCAGTTTGGATGAAGAAGGCCCTTTGGCCCATTTAATCTAATCCCTCGACAGCAACCCCAACTGTACCACCCCCCACCCCCACCCCCCCAACACAGCATCAAAAGCAGCTTTTATTCACCAAAATAAATTGTTAATGTACAGATAGTTATTGTATCTGCAACCAGGAATTGTGCAAGGGTTAGAAACCTCACCAAGATCATGCACTTAGCACATTAGCACCAGAAGAGTTGCAGCATTCTCTGGTTACTGTAAATAGTGGTATCGGCAGAATAAATGTCCCATATCCCTATAAGGAGTGTAGATTCTCAAGTATATCTCTTATGTACTGAGAAAGAAAAAAGGCAGCTTCAATGATGCTTGTCGGCATAAGTTCTTAATTAAACACATCACACACTACAGTTTTCTAACCTGCTGATACCCGTATTGAACAAAACAAGGCCATAGAACTTTCAACACAAATGACAGTGAGAAAATAGTAAATTATTTTTTTAGGTCACTACCTCCAAAGACAAAATTGTTTTTAGGTCACTCCTACTCATGATAAATTGCTTTTTGGGTCAGTACCTCTGAACTCTGGCAGATTGTGCTTTCAAAAAGCTACTAAATATACCATACAAGTATCTCTTCTCCTTCAACCTTTCCAAAGCTGAAGACATGCATGAGGGCAATTTAAAGGAATATTTGTTTACATAAGTCTTTTAAGCTCTTGAAGTTGTATCCACAGGAAGAAGGTTAGGTATAGTAATGCCAACCAGCACTCAAGCTACAATGTAAACAATAATGTGTAAAGCAACTGCTATTTATTCTATCTGGGCCATAAATTTAACAAAAACAAAAACATGCAATTATATAGTGCCTTCAGGTAAGATAACATCTTGGGAGCTCTTTTCAACGATGGGATTGAATGTCAAACACACAAGAAGGTAAAAGGAGAGATTGAAAGAGGGAGATAAACATAGACACAGTTAAAGAGGTAGATTTCAAAGTGAGATTTAAAGACAGATCGAAGAGGCAAGACGGAGGGGTAGACAGACCAAGCTCCAGAGGTTAGGTTCATAGACGTTGAAGGTTCAGCCACTGTCGGTGGCACAGAGGGATTGAGCAGAGGAATGGGGAAGGAGAAGATCAGATAGGTAGGGTGTCATGGGATTTATAGGTGAGGATCTTGAAGTCAATCCATTGGGAGCCAAAGAACCAGTGGAACCTGGCAAACACTGGGGTAATGTGTGTGTGGAGGTTAGTGCAGATGAGGATCCAACTATATTTTATGCATGATGGAGCTAAATTCAATAACTGGAGGAGTTAAACTCTTTGTTTAGTTAAATTATCTGTATAATGAGTCCTCAGTATTTATAATTTCCCCCAGTGATGATTGCTTTTGTTTTGTTCTTGGCAACAGGAACATATGTAAAAGAAAATAACAAAAATCTTACCCAACATTAGCACTGTGTGAAAATCAATATGTGCCAAAATAACAATGTACCACAGAATTATCAAGTCAGTGTCACGCTGATTATTTCAACCCAGTGCAATGTTTTCTGAGAAATCATTGCTCAGCTATAAATATCCAAATATGATGCACTTTCATGGACACAAATGATTACATGACAGTTGTAATTAATGAGTGTTTCCATAAAAATTGTGTTTTCAAGGGTAACAACTTATAATTTAAGAAATCACAGTGTTATTGCATGCTGTATCATTCTTGCTAAGAATACATTTCAGAATCTATTACTGAATTCCCCCATTAGCATTTCCTTTACCTACTGAATTTAAAAATATGAGGTGTGAAAATAGAAAATTAAATGATCTGTAGTCTGCTTTGCTCTGTTGTCGCCTACTGTATCTATTCAACACCTCAGTCAATCATAGAAAAATGAAACCTGTTCACAATTTCCTAGCTTTGTCACATAAAATCCCTGATTATACTAGCTGAATGGGAGTACACAACTCTCATTTCCCAGTATTCCACCAAGAACATTGTTCATTTCCCAAATAGCTAACCATGACTGGTTGGTTCTCAGCCCTTCAGTTGGGCAAAAAATGTCAAAATCAAGTGCTTCTTCTCAGTTTCCTTTTGGTTGCTCAATTCAAGAAACTTCAAGCACATTACAGTTCATCTAATTCTATTCATTGCTGTTGCCACACTAACTTCAGCATCAAATAACTTGCTTTTAGTTAAGCTTGCTTCACTTTCAAGGCCTAGATACAACTTTGCCCAAAAGGAGCTCACCAATTATATAACACGTAATTCCCATCGGCAAAGCTACACTTGNTTTTTTGGAATGCAANTTTTTTCTCTTTGGTGCAATCTGCTCTCTGATAATGAGCTCAAAACTAATTGCCTGCTTTGTTATTACTTTCAATTAATTGCTCTGCAATATTTTAGCATGTTTAACACAATGGGCTGAGCAGCCTTCTTCTATACTTTAAATTTCTAAAAAAAAATCCCAAACATTTTGTTTATCATGCCGCAGCCTACTGTGTGCAAGTTATGGGCTATTACTCACAACGATCTTGGAAATTATTAAAGTGCTCTAGACATTGGAAATGATATTGCATCTTTCCAATATTTCTGGTCCCACTTTGTTAAACATTCTTAAACACTGAGTGAGAGGGGACAGATGTCTGGGTCTGTCCATCTGCCACCTTGAGCTCGTCACCGGGAGTCTTGCAGAATCAACTTGGCCAAAGCCTCCCCTCCACGTGAGGGAAACACCGGCTGTCACTAGGCACTTTCCTCTGACAATACGCCAGAAATCAGAAACTTGGGGCAAACACAGCCATAGCTGTTATTCTACCTTCCATAACCGCCCATACTCTCCATTACTGCGATGCACAACATTATCATCAGGCTGTTATGGAGACGAGATTCACAGTTGTTGATTTTTTTCCTTTCCTCTTCCAATTTCATAGTCACCCCATAACCACACAACATATATAGCCGAGAGAAGGTAATTTGCTTGCTCCGGATAGAACATGCTATATCACCCTTCTCCCACTTTTTAAAATAATGATTTTAACCAGAATTGTAGCTAAGACCTCCAAACTAAAGTAAACTCAGCTAAAACAATAGCATAGGAACGGAGGCCATTCAGCCCCTCAAGCCTGTTCCACCATTCTATAAGATCATGGTTGATCTGCATCTCAACTCCCTTGCCCCATATCCCAAATTTATCTACCTCATTTTGAAAATTTTAATGTTTGAATGGATCCAGCATCCATGCCAGAACTTCCAATTGCTTTTTAATATTATTAAAGAGAAATTTGCATGATTGAATTACATTGCCCAAATTTTCTAAAGAAATGACACTTACTTGCTCTTTCCTTTATATACCGTGGCATAGGATCCTTCTCCAAGCTTTTCCAATTTTTCATAGGAGTCAGCCTTCCCAAATTTGGGGCTTGTTGGCTGGAAAATGAAACAAAAAATCATATCAAAAAGCGATCCAATTTTTCTGATATATAAACCATTCAATGGACAAGATCAATTGCTTGTCCTTTTGGTATGGCACATACTTTTGTGTAGACATTATTAACTTTGATTGATACAGTTTGGATTTACTCGACATAGACGTGTGTAAATGTGATCTTTTATCCATCACTTCCAACATATATTGACAGTGAAAAGTCAAAATTATCAACAGAGAATTGTGTGCATTTAACCTGCTACCTAAAGGTACCTGAGATTCAGGTGGCTTACATAAAAGAGCAACTTAAACCAGTTGATTTAATTCATTCTAGACTGTATTATATTTTTCGATGCCCAATACCATTTGCATCTGTGGCGCCAGATTGTTCATAGTTTCTTTTGTATTGAAGTCTGAATATCATTTCTCTCCAACACTGTTTTAGTTACAAGTAGTTCAAAAGAGAGATGGTTACCTAATAACTGAAAATGTTTCAGCCAACTATTCATGTGTTTCAACTTGGAGCGAGTGATAGAGCACAAAGGACTGTTCAGTGCTCTCTGTTAGAGAGAGGTCGATACAAGATCATCTTCATTAGGAAATTACCAACATGGTGGAAATGAAACTCAAAACGCTTTGGCAAAGAACATTGAACAAGTTGCTTGGATCAGAGTCATTTACTATTTTTAAAGTTTAATAGGGAATTATTTAAGAAAAAGAAATTGTGTTTTTCACTTCACTTGAGTTGCCTCTGTGTTCCAGTTAGGCAACGTGATCAGAACACTAAGTACTACGAAAGATCACAGATGTGGTTTTGGAAGACTTACAGTAATGTTATACATCTAATTAGAGCAAGTTGAAATACAAAAGCTTTTTAAAGAAGAAATTAGGTCTTGTACTGAGGCTGAAAATTGTACATGTACTGTTCATGTTATAATTAACTTAAAGACAACACACTTTCGCCCACAAATATCCAGTCAATTCACTTTACAGTGTGTTCTGTGAAGCGCTTTGGGATGTCATCCCAACGTGAAAAGCGCTATATCAAATGCAAGGATTATTATTATTATTAGATCAATTTTAATGATTGTAACTGAGATAGATTTTTATATTTCAACTATCCATTAGATAAGTCACCCATATACCAATTATTTTACAGTGCAGCAAGGCACAAACTTTAAGAAATACTCTGCAGACTAAGACACTCTAACATAAAGAGTTGAGGTTGACAATCCTAGTCAATGACTAGAAAAACAATAACGTTCTGAACGTGTCTGAAGTTAATACTACATAAAAATGAGAGATAATGAAATCATTGAAAACTAACAAATCGATTTTTCTTTAACAAAGAAAACAATTTTGAGGATCTATTTTTAGGTTAGATTTTTCATAAGTACACAAGACAGCATGACTGAGTCCAGAAAGATGTTTCACCAAAGCACAATCACTTCAGCCCTCTCATCGGGGCTCAAATGTGTTACAGACTTAAAGACAAAGGTCAACTTTCACCCTCTAATGGTGTTGAGACTCGCAAGTGAAACACATATTACTGAGCCCAAATCCAGTGCTCAAGGGTAATTCAGGAATAGCTACACATCTGGCAAGGGCAACACCACAAATGAGGTCAAGTTTGTCAGTTTGGTTTAATTGGTAGCAATATTGCCTCTGGGTCAAAAGGACATCCGTCTGATTCTGACCACCAAGACTCAAGCTTGTAATCTAGAGAGGTATTCTAGTGGTGTACTGAAAGAATGTAGCATTGTAAGAGGCCCTGGTCCTGCTGTCGAACAGTTAAACCAAAGTTTCATCTTCCTGTTCAATCAGTTTAGGTGAATGTTAAAGATCCCAATATACTATTTAAAAGAGGGAATTCCTGACTACTATTCATCCCTCATCCACATTCACCAAAAGGAACATAATTTTTAGTTATTTATTTTACTGCTATTTCTGGGATGTCGCTAGCACAGATTGGCTGATATCCTGCCTATATGGTTATATCACTTCAATATAATTAAACAAAGTAAAAGTTGTTGTACTCCTTAAAGCATCCCTTAATTTCCAGCGCCTTGGGATGTCCTCCAGACGTAAAAGGCGCTATACAAATGTAATTTTGTTGTTGTTGTTAACTTATTTAAGGGATGTATTAAGGAACACCAGAAGGTGACATCCCTTTCCAGGTAAGTGGTTCGCTCTTGTCAGGGTTGCTTGTGATCCTGAGGTGAGAGTGTTCTTATATAATAAATGTTAGGTCTACATTGTGTTGTAGGTTGTTTTTCTTGTTTAATATTGCTTTCCCAGTGGTGATCTGCCTTGGAGAGTTAAATACATGCTATTCTAGCCTGGAAAATGAACTTGCACTGCTTGGCTACATATATACACACACACACACACACACAGACTGACTTGCATATACATCTGGAGAACACAGCTGCTCTGTTTAGAGGATGAACTATCCTCCAAGGACAACTGATAATAATAATCCTTGCATTTGATATAGCGCCTTATCACATCTTCGAGACATCTCAAAGCGCTTTACTGTAAAGTTAATTGACTATATATTTTGTGGGTGAACCACGGCAGCCAACTGCATACAGTAGTCTCCCAGAAACAGTCATGGATTGCCCAGTGTTTCGCCCTGCCGGGAATTGAACCCGGATCTCGATCTTGGCGAAGCGAGTGCTCTAACCACTGAGCTGCAGGACTCCACAATGATATTCAAATGAACAGTCCAATTATTCCACATCTTCTGAATCTTTACTGTTTTACATAGAAATATTTGCTCCTAGACAGTGATCAGCCATAGATGGCAATCAGCCATCTAGATTCTGCGTCAGAAAGTTATTTCAAGTTCAGAAGGCTGTACATTCAAGTCCCAAATCAGGACTTTATCTTATAATCGAAGCTAAACATACCAGTGCACATACCAAGGGTGCACTGCATTATCGGAGGTGTTGTCCATTGGAGGAGATATTAGACTAAGACTCTGTCTGTCTATTGGATATTAAAGATCACAGTTGGATCATGATTGGTTGTGCATTCTCAATAAAAACAACAACATTACATCTGTATAGTGCCTTTCACGTCGGGAGGACATCCCAAGGCGATGGATAGACAAAGTTTCAGATGCGAGCTTGAGATGGGTCTTGAAGGAGGCAAGGGAGAAGGTGAGGCGGAGGGGCTGCGGGATGAAGTTCCAGAGAGTGGGGGCAGAGTGGCTGAAGGCCAATAGTGAGGCGGGGGACGTGAAGCAGGCCAGAGCTCTCTGAGCGGAGGGAGCGAGCAGAATGGTAGGTGTTTAGGAGGTCACAGAAGTAGGGGGGAGCAAGGCCATGGAGGGCTTTGAAGGTGAGGACCAGGGTCTTGACCTGTATCCTCTGTGTGATGGAAAGCCAGTGGAGTAGGGAGAGGATGGGGGTGATAGGGTCATGGAGCCTGGTGCGGGAGAGGACATGGGCTGCAGAGTTCTGGATGATCTGCAGCCTGTGGAGGGAGGAGTTGGGGAGGCCGACAAGCAATGAGTTTGCACAGTTGAGCCTCAATGTAAAGAAAGCATGTACGAGGGTCTTGGCTGCCTGCGATGTGAGACAGTGGCGGAGCCGGGCGACGTTGCGGAGGTGAGGGAAGGCAGAGTGGGTCATGGCGCAGATGTGGGGTAGAAACAATAGTTGAGGGTCAAACAAGACCCCAGGGTTCTGGACTGGCTTAGTAAGGTGGAGTGTGCAACCGTGGATGGTGATTCTGTCAGCGCCTGAGGTGAGGAGGTGCTGACAGGAACCAATCAGGAGAGCCTCGGTCTTGTTGACGTTCAACTGAAGAAAGTTAGCTCTCATCCAGGACTCGATGTCTGATAGACATTTTGGAGTCAACGGTTGAGGCAGAGTTGGGTGTCATCCGCATACATGTGGAAGTTGATCCTATGTCTGCGGATGATGTCACCAAGAGGGAGCATATAGATATTGAAGAGGAGGGGACCAAGGAATGCTACACAAAACACTACGGGGGCAAGAGGAGAAACCATTTGTGGAGGAGAAGTGGAGTCAGTGTGAGAGGTACGATCTGAAGTATTCATGGATATAGCCGTGAAGGTTGAGAGGAGAGGAGAGGCGGTGGATGTGAATAAATCAATAAATGGAAATAAACTTGGGATTTCTGTGTTATATTGTGAGGGTAAAGAAATATAGGGATATGTAATCATTATTACCAAATACTGTACTTCAAAACTTTCACTGCCACCATTTATATTGATTCAACTGAGTATTAGTCCCAGGGATTCCTTACATTTTACTTAGTTTTATGGCAGGCTCTCATTATGAGCTTGACTCTTTGAGTCTTGTTTTTTCTTTGTTGTTCTCATATGCTATCAGCACATAGAACTGTTAATTCCAGCATTAAAGGATTTTTTAAAAACATGCTGTCAGAAGAAACGATCTTTAGGCATAAGTCATTATCCTTTTGGCACAATGTACAATACAAAGAAATTTGTACACAGCATTCAATGTCATTTTTCTACCATTCCTGTGAATCACAGCTTCAAAGTGAACCTCAATTGAAAATTACAACATAATATGAGTTTGACCCAATAGTTGCCTTCAGAACAGTCTGGTTCTCATGCATTTTGCATCACCACAAATCAGTTTTACTGTTACAACATTGGAAACTTCAACAAAAATCAGTGCCTTGCTCCAGCCAGTGAGTGCTCAACACAAAGTCATGAGGTTTTCTCTAGAAGTCAATGACAAATGCAAAAAGGAAACATTAAATAAGAATCAAAAGTAGATAAGCTTTCTTCAAAATAAGTAAGACTTATTGTGTGTAATTCTTCAGCAGTTCTTAGTATTGCAATAAGCGTCAAGGCTTTTAATTTTGTACTGGGAAGTGGTGTAGGGCAATGGAATTTTAATTAATAAATTTCCGATCGGTCATATAAACTGGAGTCACTAAAAGCAGACTGGCAGGTTTTCATTAAATTAAATGGACTGATGCATCATTCAACATTACAATG